GGCTGGGGTTCATGCCCGGTTTCTGTGGATGGGCCATAGGGGTCCATGAGACTCTCAAAACACACACAAATGTTGTGCACCCTGTGAGTCTGTCTGGAGCAAGATCCAGAGCTCCATCAGAGGCTCAAGGAGGTCTCAGGCTTGGAAATGGTTGGGAATCTCTGATGCACAGAGGGAAATGAGGCCAGAAAAGGGTTTCCTTTGCCCAAGCTCCCCTAGACCCTGAAGGGCAACACCTGAGTGCCTGGCTCCCAGCCCTGCTCTCTGGGATGCTGTGATCTCGCTGTTGCCTCTACACTGACATTCCAGGATGATTTTCTGTGCTCCCAGTCCCCACATATACCCTGCCTTGGACATCCCACCCACTCTTAGATTTGGCTTGTCCTGGGTAGTATTCATATCACCGGTCCCCTATCCTAGCTCTGCCTCATGTTCTTCCATTTCTCATAAGTGGGCCTGTACTCCCCAATCTCCCAAATCCACTCAGCTGCCTGATGCCACAGGTGTGGCTGTGGTCACTGTGGGTACCTGTCTTCCCCACCCCCTGCTCCAGCCTGAAGCACTGGGTTGTCCCTGCCCTGCCCTGGCTTCTCCTAGAGCAGAATGGTTTCAACACCAGCTGCCCAATGATGTAGGTCTGACTTCCCTAGACCTTGCCACAGGCCTGTGGACTCCTCATCTCACCTCACATCCCACTGGGGGACCACCTTCTGAGTGGCTGCTGCCTCCCTCTGTGTGTTTTTGTGTCTCAGTGTGTGTGCATGTGTGTTTGTGCCCACAAATGCTGTACCGTATGCTTGCTCACAGACATGTGCACAGGCGCCTGCACCTTTGCATCTGCCCTCTGTCTTATAGAACATGTTGGGCCCTCCAGCCCTTTTCTTGAGCTTTTCACACTCTCTGGCTTGGGTCCCAGCCTGGAAGGCACTTTATGAAGTTATCCCTTTGACAGTCCTGTGTCATTATTCTAAGCAGACACCAGCCTTGTCACTTTCCACCTTTGTGACCCTCAGCATGGTCCTCAATCTCTCTCAGTCTCTGCCTACAGTGGGGATGATGGTAATCTCTAGGTTTTCATTCGCCAAATATTTAAAAAAATGACCACTATTTCCCAGGCCCTGTTCTAGGCTCTGGGGGAGACAGCAGTGAACGTGACCTAGTCCCCACCCTCACTGAACTCACCAGCTAGTGAGGGAGATGGGCAGAAAATAAGGAAACAAATGGAAAATGGGGTTTCAGGTCTGCTAAGTGGTGCTTAGCAGACACAGTGCTCTGTGAAGAAATGTGAGAGTGCTAGGTACTCAGGGAGGACCTCTCTGAAGAGACAGCATTGGAGTTAAGCCCTGAGTGACAGAAGAGGCAGTTACTTAAAGATCTAGGGAAGGAGCATTCTAGGCCAAGGGTACAGCTGATGCAAAGGCCCTGAGGTGGGAATGAGCTCAGGGAGCAGAAAGAAGGCCAGTGTGGCTGCTTGGGTGGGGGATGGGCAAGGGCCGTGAACCAGCTCAGGCAGGGCCTTTTTAGGCCATGCTGAGGCAGCCAGATTGGTGATGGGAGCCAATGGGGTTACCAGTGAGGGAGGGGGTGTGATGTAATTTGTGTTTTCACAACTCACTCCAGCTGCTATGGGGGGAGTGGGAAGGGGGCTAGGGTTGTCATAGGAACACCTGAGACCTGGCCCAACCAGAGTTCCATTACCATCCTGGGTCCCATCTTGGTTGGTGCTGAAAACGAGGCTGCTCAGCCCAAGGTTATCCCAAGGGCAGTCCACAGAGCCACCGCCTGGAGTGGGGCCTGGTTCTGGCTGAGGGAGGAGGCAGGAGATGTAGCTACTGCCAGCCTGTCATTTGCAGGCATCTCCTTGGCATGGGTGCCCTGTGGCCCAGCTGTCCCCCCATTCCCTGCTCTTGCTGGCAGGGCTGGAAGTGGGCAGGGCCACTGCTTTGGGTAGATGCTTCTGGTGGAGGATTTGAGCCCATGATCTCGTGGGAGGGTCTGGGAAATGGGGGTTCATCCTGTACTCCCAGCCCATCCGGGTGCAGAGAGAGGCTGCTCTTGAGACTGGAGGCAGCTACTCAACCTGTGACCTCAGGCAAAGCCTTTCCTGGTTCCATGCCTCAGTCTCCCCATATGTCAAATGCAGTAGTAGAGAGAGTAGGCTGTAGTTGCCTTTCTCCTTGACCTCTGTAGTGTGTTTGTTCTTCCTTGGATCTCAGCCCTCTTAGCACTCATGACCTTAAGTTCTCCCACCAGCTCTGGGGAAGGAGAGTGGAGGTGATGCCGCCCATCTGCAGATGGGTTCATAAAGGTCAGACGGGACAGTGATGAGTCCCAGGGCACATGGTGATTCAGAGCAAGGATTTGGGGCATCGTTTCACATTCTGCTCGGAAGACCCCCCTGTATGCACCTCTCCTTGGGTCCAGCAAGGGGGGGGGTCCTGGCTCAGCTCTTTCTGGGCTCAGTTGGCCTTTAGCCCAGGCAGGGACTCTGGGCCCCTGCCCAAAGTGGAGCTCAATGTGCCCCTTGTCTGTCCACCCCAGAAGCCGAGGACACGGCCCCGTGCCCGGTGTTGGCAGAACCTCCATCATGCTGTCAGCTGCAGGAGGACATGGCAGGGTAGGTAGGGCTAAAGCCAGCCTGAGGCAGCTGCTGGGAGTCGGGGGTGACGTTGAGGCCTCCCAAGAGGTCCTTGATTTGTCCACAACCCTGGCTTTGGGGATGGTGTAGACTGAGCACCAGGGGAAGCCACTTATGCTCTCAAATGTCAGGCTTCACTGGGAGCTCAGGCAGAGCCCTGGCCAAAGGGGAGGCACTGCACCTTGCTGGGCTCAGCTTCCCTGTGTGGCTATGGGAGCCTGAGGAATCCTGGTGGAATTAGGCTGATGCTCTGTGCCCCAGATCCAGTGCTCACCCATGCCTGTGGGCTAGAAAGCAGACCAGAGGACCAGAACTCAGGCAGTGGGCCCATAGACCTTGCCATCCCTCCTCTTTCCTTTCTAAATGCTTCCTTCCCTGCAAGGAGTCTCAGCTGAGGAGATGACCTCCTGTTCTCCCTCCTCAGCACACAACCTGAGGGAATGGATTGAAATAGCAACTGCAGCAAGGGATTTAGGGCAGGCCAGAAAGAATCCCTCACTTAGTGCCAAGCCCCTTGGGGTCCCCAGTGTCCTAGGATCAGGGCCCAGATAGTCTGGAGCCTGGCTTGTCACATTTTTTTTTTTTTTAAAGTCTGTGGAAGTTTTCTTTTTTTAGAGTGAAAATCTTTTGCTCATACAGTCTTCAGAACTCTAGGAGGTGACACTCAGGGGTAGGTGCGCTGAGGCCCCAGATCCCACATCAGCCCTGCTCTCTTCTACTCCATGTTTGAAAACCAAGGAGCACATGAACCTTAAGTGGTCCTGTGGTGACAAACCTCCCTCCAATTGCTCAGGAGCCCCCAGAGTAGACTCACCTTCCTCTCCAGGCTCATCTCTATGCGGGAAGTTTCTCCTGGAGTCTAAAACAGTGTTTCCCAAATTTGCTGTATGATAAGAGTAACAGGTCACTATACCCATTCTCCGGAGACTCTGATTCAGGAGGCCTGGGGGAGGGCCTGTATTTAACAAGTTCCTCCAGGTGACACTTACGACCAGGTGAGTGTAGGAAGTGTGGGCCTTCCTTAAATCCCGTCGCTGTACCCACAGCTTGTTCTGCTGCAGCTCAGAAGGCCGACCAGTCACCTCCTCCAGCCTTTCCTGAACCCCCAGCACCTCTTCTCCAGAGGAGAGTGGGGGTGCTGGGGGAAGCTGAGGCCTGAAGAGAGGAGGAAGGGAGTTCTTGGGAGGGACTGGTCTGTGTCCTTGCTGGCAGAGGTCACTGGGGGTGGGGTGGGGCAGAAATGGCCACAGACAGAGAGGGCTGAGGCACACAGCCCATCACTCCACCCTCCCACCTGAGATTGGGCAGGAAGCCTCTGGGAAACTGAGCTGATTCTGATGTGTTTAAAAAGGGATGGGGTGGAGGTGGCAGGTAAACTGGGTCTCCCCGTTTTACAGAGGAGAAACAGACCCGGAGCAGGCAGAGGGAAGGGGGTGTTGGCCTGGGGGGAGCAGTGAGGAGTCCCAACCTGGACTCTCACGAGGTCACACAGTGAGTTGGGCTCCCCTGGAGGGCCCCATGGCATCCTCTCACGAGTCCCTCTTCAAAGCTGGGTGAGCTCTGGGGGCCAGGTGTCGAAGGGAACCCCAGCTCCCCCGTCCCCGCGCCACTTCCCTCTCGCACAGCCAGAGCGTTGGGCGCTGTGGGCTGGAGGAAGCCCCGCTCTCCGTTGAGACTCCCGGGTGGCGCCGCCCCCGCTCAGCACCCTGGACAGCACCTCGTTCTGCGCCTCAGGATCGCCTCCTCCGGGCCTCACTTTGGTTTCTCTGGGGTGGCCTCTGCTCTGATCGATGTCCTTGCCTCCTTTCTTAACTCTCCCTGTAAAGGCAGACCCTAATCCAGAGCTCTCCATTCACCACTTCTCTGGCTCCTGGAGCTAGGGCGAGGGAACATGGAAAGAGGCAAAGTGGCTGCCTGCTGTCGACCTGGGGTTTTGTTCCCTCACTCACCAGCAGGAAATGAAGTGGTCTTGGGGGAGTCTTGGACCTTTCCCTAGTTCCGCCCAGCCCAGATTTTCCTTAGAGGTTGTGGTGAATTCTGAAGGACACAGTAGAGATACATAAGAGGTAACAGGGAAGGTAGGACTGGGGCACAGTGGTGGCTGGGAGTCAGGGGAGAGGTGAGTGGGGCTGGCCTGAGCAAGGCAGTGAGACTCAGACTCCTCCAAGATTCTAGCTGAGAGGTTCTGGGAAGATCATCTGGGCCCACCTCTTTGTCCTCAGGCAGACTGCCTGGTGCTGGTTCTACTGGGCATTGAATGCCCAGCACCTGTTCTTTCTGATCCACCCCCTTCTCTCTCCATCTGCTGCCAGGTCTAAAGGAGTCCCTTGAGCAGCCAGCAGGGGGAGAAGCAGTGGCTGCCATGGATGAGGATATGTTTCTGTCTGCACTGCCTGGGGAAGATGGTGCCACCTGGGAGCCCAGCCTGGAACCTGAGGAGGAACCTGGGGTCCAGAATGGAATGGCGTCCAGTGAGGACCTGAACAGTAGCCACACCAGCCCAGGGCATGCAATGAGGGGCACCCTGGCAGGCACCGAGGGGCATACAAAAGGCCTGGACATGGCCCTCCATGGCCTCAGCCTTGGCCTTTCCCTCACCAATGGCCTAGCCCTGGGGCCAGACTCAAACATTCTGGAAGACTCTACAGAGCCCAGGCCCTGGAGGGCTGGTGGGCTGTCCGAGGGGGACAATGCCTCCAGGAGCCTCCGTCCAGACACCGAGGATCCTCCACTTGGGTAAGTGGGAGTCTCAGAATGGGGGTCACCACATTTGCTCCAGTGCTGCATGGCCTGGGCCTTGTCACTTAGCCTTTCTGGTTCTTCTTTTCCTCATACATGAAGTGGGAATTTGATGTCCCTCTTTTGGGAGGATAGAGCTATAAGAGATATTTCAAAGGCCAGCATGCCTGTTGTGTTCCCACTCTCAGTGCCCCTAGTCACCAGGGGCTGTTTCTTTTTTTAAAAACTTTTTTCTTTTCTTTTTCTTTTCCATTATTGCTTATTACAGATATTGACTATAGCTCTCTGTGCTATACAATAGGATGTTGTTGTTTGTCCATTCTATATATAATGATTTGCATCTGTCATCCCAAACTCCCAGCCCATCCCTTCCTCACCTCCCCTTCCACAATGGGCTCTTTCTATGTAGAGCTGGAGGGCCACACTCCCTCCATCCCAGTCTGGGCATCAGAGTTCCAAAATGCCTTGATGTGGGAGGTCATCTGGCCCATCCCTCTACTTCCTGGAGATGAGAATCTCCCAATTCCACAACTGACCTAAAGAGAGTAGGCTTTGTAGATTAATCTCTGTCAGCTCCTCCTCCCTGAGTGCCATCTGGGAGTTCGACGAGGAACTCCTACTTATCGGAGTAAGTCTTACTTCCTGGAGTTACAGCTCCATTTCTATTATCTCCAGCTGCAGGTGGAGAGGCTTGGCATCTTAGAGGTGCCAGTTGGACAAGGAGGGTAGGGATGGTTCAGGGGAATGTCTAGAAGCCCCCAGGGTGAGCTGAGAAAAGAAAGCATATAGAAGGTTTAGTGTGCCCTGCTGCAGGGGCTTCCCTGGTGGCACTAGTGGTAAAGAACCAGGCTGCCAATGCAGGAGACATAAGAGAGACAGGTTTGATCCCTGGATGGGGAAGATCCCTTCGAGTAGAGGATGGCAACCCACTCCAGTATTCTTGCTTTGAGAATTCCATTGACAGAGGAGCCTGGCGGGCTATGGTCCATAGGGTTGCAAAGAGTGGGATATGACTGAAGGGATTTATAATGCACACACTGCTGTAGGCCCTGCTCTGGGCAGGAAGTGTGTAGGAGGTATGTGAGCATGCATGTGGGGGACATGCATGTGTATGCCTGGCCTGTGTACTGATGTGTGCGTGACAGTGTGTGAACCTGTTGGTGTGCCTGGCCTGTGCATTAGGGACACATTTGGGTGTGCACGTGGATGCATGGAGCTGGAGTGTGTCTAGGTCTCCAAGACAGGGTCAGATGCCTGCATGTACTGTGTGTGCTGTATGAGGCTTTCCACCTGGGCAGGGCCTAGTGTGGTGTGGGGCCTCGTGAGGTGCAGGCAGGGGGCTGGGGCTTGGAGCTGCTGTTTGTGTTTAGGTGCTTATAGTTTTGGAGGCTGGCTGAAGGTGGGGCAGATGAGAGTCTGGAGACTGGGCTAATGGTCTTCAAGCCCCTATCAAAACTGCCCACAAGTGTGCTCATGTGCATGAGAGGGTGGGGTATGTGGGGGAACCATTCATGGTTCTGACATGGGATGAGCCCCCAAGGGCAGGACTCTGTCTTATTGTTCTAGGACCCTGTACAGGCCTGGCAGAGAGAGCTGCTGGGCAGATTTGGGGTGTCTGCTCTGGCGGCCAGGGCAGTGGCCCTTTTCTTCCCTCCTGTCCTCCCAGAGGTCAGTAGAGGCAGCTTCCACCCCAGCCCCCTGCTGGGCAGCCTACTTGTGACCCAGTGTGACACTTTCCCCTATTTCCTTTTCTAAATGAGGCTGTCCTCTCAACTCCCGTGGGTTATGGCTGTGGTCTCAGCTTTTCACTCTCAGGTCAGTATTTCTCCAGGAAGCATGCAGGAATCAAATCTCAGGCATGGTGGTTGGGGGCATGTCCAAGATGTGCCTTGAGGGGCTGGACCTCTTCTTCATCCTCCAAATATGACTCAGTCTCTGTGAGGTCGCAGGGGTTGGGGGATAAGCAGGACATGGCCAGATCCTCCAGGGGACCAGGGTGTGCTTCTTTGCAAATGGTGGGTCCTAGTTTATCTGAAATGGGCTGGGCTCAGCCTGCTTCTTTCTTTTGCTGTGTTTCTTCCTCTTGCTGTTTCTATCTCTCTCTTTGTCTCTCTTTATCTGTCACTCTCTGCCTCTCTTATTCTGTCTCTCTTTGTTTTCTGTGCTCTCTGTATCTCTTTTCTGCCTCATTCTTGTCTCTCTTATTTTTCTTCTTTTCTCTCTCTCTCTCCTTGTCTCCATTTTGATCTCTTTTAGTCCTCTTCCTCGCCTGACTTCCCTGCTTACTTGTGCATCTCCCCAGTGGGTAAGAGGCCTCGCTTCATCTATGTGTGTTGCTCTATTTTAGGTTCTGGGGATACATCAGTGAACAGAATATACGAAAACTCCTACTTTCATGGAGCTTATGGTCTAGTGAGGAGACAGATAATAAATCATAAAAATAATAGATAATTACATAGTATGTTGAAAGGGGCGAGTGCCTTGGAAAAAAGTAAGAAAGAGGGGTTGGGGGAGGGAGCAGGTCCCAGTTATAAATAGGGCAGTCAGGATGAGAAAGGGATGTGGAAGGCAGGCTCCTGAGGGAAGAGCGCTCTGGGCAGAAGGAACCACTGGTACAAGGGCCTCTCTGGGGGGCAGCACAGGGCAGGGCTTAGGCAGCGGAGTGGGCCTCCAGGCTGACAGGCATCTGCTCATTCACCCAGCGCGCCATTCGGGAAGGCTTAGAGGATCTCCTGTGTGCTGGGTGCTCCCTGGCCTTGTGTGTGGTGGGGGAAACAGGTGTCAATAGGAGAATAAATAGAAGGCTACAGGCTGAGAGGGGCTAGGAGGAAATAAAGGGGCACCCTGAGGATAGACCACCCTGAGATAGGGCCACTGTGGTGGGTGGTCTGGGCCTGCCTCCCTCAGTCTCTCTGAGGAGGTGACATTAAAGCAAGGCCTGGGCAGCCACGCTAAGAACCACCCAGGCTGTGGGGACAGCAAAATTATGACCCAGTGAGACGCTAGCTGTGATGGAGCCTGGAAGGAGGAGCCCTGCCCCTTTCCTGAGCCTGGACTCTCATAGGAGAGAGAGTCTCACACTCATTCATTTAGATGAATGATGCCTCTTGGGGGCCAGGCCTGGTGGGCACTGGGGGGCAGGGCCATGCCTGTCCTTTCAAGCTGTACCCCAGTACCCAGCCCAGCATCTGGCACCTGTGCTTAGTAAGGGTTGGCTGAGAGAATAAACAGGACATGATCCCTGCCGGCTCCCCACACCCAGGGAGTGCCCAGACATGGATTGGTGCCATCCTAGCACCTGTAAGGGGCCATCTGGCAGGATGGTGACTGGGCCCCGCATCCCACAGGCCGGGTGGCCCTGGAGAGCCAGATGTGCGAGACGGCTTCAGTGCGACGTTTGAGAAGATTGTGGAGTCGGAGCTGCTGCGGGGCACCCAGTACAGCAGCCTGGACTCCCTGGACGTGCTGAGCCTCACGGACGAGAGCGACAGCTGTGTCAGCTTCGAGGCCCCTCTCACGCCCCTCATCCAGCAGCGGGCCCGGGACAGCCCTGAGCTGGGAGCGGGCTTGGGCACTGGGGACATGGGGTCTGAGGCGGACATGGGAGCAGCCGGTGGCAGTGGGGCGCTCGGCAGCCCTCTGCGGCGCTCCATCTCTGGCAGCCGCTCTGAGAATGTCCTGAGCCGCCTGTCTCTCACGGCGGTGCCCAATGGCTTCCATGAAGATGGACCCCTAGGCCCACGTGGGGACGAGGAGGACGATGAGGAGGAGGAGGAGGAGGACACGGACAAGCTGCTGAACTCGGCCAGGTGAGGCAGGGCCTGGGCTGGGAGCTGAGAGAACCGTGGAGCAGATGGGGAAACCGAGACCCAGAGGAGGCAAAATGAGTCAGGATAAGCCAGGGCTCGGAGTGAACGGCCCTCTGCAAGGTCTCTGCGCCCACCCTCTGCACACAGACCTCCCACCCCCAGCCTGAGGTTCCATTCTGCCCTTCCGGTATTTCCAGCCTGGGTGGGGTCAGGGAGCTGATCATCTAATGGTTTCCTCTGAGGGTTTTTCTGGAAGTCTAACTTGATTCTGTTCTGATGCAGTGGAGCTTCTTTCCCTGGTCTTGGGAGACCTTCCAGCCCCTGCCCAAGGGTCTCTGACCCCCTCATCCCTGCCACCTTTCCTCTTCAGCGACCCCAGCCTGAAGGATGGCCTGTCGGACTCGGACTCAGAGCTGAGCAGCTCGGAGGGGCTGGAGTCTGGCAGCACAGACCCACTGGCCAACGGGGGCCAGGGCGTCAGTGAGGCTGCCCACCGGCTGGCGCGCCGGCTCTACCACCTGGAGGGCTTTCAGCGCTGTGACGTGGCCCGGCAGCTGGGCAAGAAGTGAGTTGCATCTCCATCCCCCACCCCAAGCAAACCCCGTGTCTTCGTCAGCCCAAGGGGGTGTGGTGACTTCCCTTAGGGGTGCCTAGTGCTGGGGGCTCCCAACAATCCCCAAGAACTGCCACTGTCCTCATTCTGGACCTTGCCCTAAATCCGTTTCCTTTCTGGGCTCCCTGGGTGAGGGCCCCTGCTCCTAGGGAGGGGAGGTAGGGTTGGGGGGCCCCTCGGGGCTGGGGGAGTGGCATGTGGCTTGTGGTGGTGGGGCCGTGGTGGAAGGCAGCAAGGACGGAGTAGCCAGGCAGGGTCTCGTGGGTGAACTAATGGGGCCAGGGAGGGAGGGGCACCTGGTCTGAACGAGGACCGCCTGGGACCCCGGAGCTGGGGGAGGGGGTTCCGACCCTCACTGAGCCCCACTCACTGTCTGTTGGGACCAGCTGAAGAGGGGGAGCTGCCTACACACAAGCCCCGGTCTTTGGACTCAGGGAAGGGAAGTAGCCAGGTTGAAGTCCTAGGGGGTGGGGGACAGTCAGCTGTGAAGTCAGTCGGTGTGTCATGAGCAGGTCTGACCACCAGCACATCCACCTGCCTTGTCCTCCTTGCCTTGTTCTCCAGAGGGGCCTTCACACCCACATAAGCCTTCAGGTTGCACAGAGGCAGGCCTGGCCTCCAGAGAGGGCTGCTCCCAGGCTAAGAGAGGCAGCCTAGACTCTAGACCCCAAGTTAGAGTTGAGGGGGCTTTGGGCCACAGGCAGGTCCTGCAGATACCCTCCTTCTCCCCACTCCCGCCTCCTCTACCCTCTGTAGCCTCCACAGCACTCCTGCCTGGGCCTTCCCCCAAATCATGTCGCCTGCCCCCTCACCCCTCCCACTGGGCTAGAGCCCCCCAACCTAATGACATCCTCCTTCATTAAAGTTGATCCCCACCCTCCCCTGTCTTTTCAACCACTCTGTCTTCATGAGTTTTCCCATCAGGATTTAATTGTGCTTAACCCTCTCCCATCTGAAACAAAAATCCTTCCTCAAATGTATTTCCTCCTTCTGCCTCTTCACAGTCAACATTCTGTCTTCTGCTCTGGGTGGCCTCTGTCCCCTCCCCTTCTGCACATTCAGCATCTCCAGGTCGGCTTCTTTCCCGTCCCCCACTGCCCTACACAAGCTCCTCTTGCTAGAGTCAGTAGCAGCCTGGTGTCTTTGAATATAGTGGCCTCAACTCTTTCCCCTTCAACAGCCTTGACACACCCGCCACTCCTTTCTTCTTCTTCAATTAAACTTTCAATGATGAAAATTTTGAGCACACACGAAAGCAGAGAAAGCAATACTTTAAACCTCCTTGTACCCATTATTCAGCTTCAAAGTTATCAACATTTTTTATTCTTGTTTGATCTCTTCCCCCCACAGCTTCCCCTCACACTTGCTGGAATATTTTAAACCATATTTCAGACTCTATCATATGATCCATAAGTATTTAGTATGTGTCTCTAACTGATTAGGATTTTTTTTAGATAGTCATAATTTCTGACAAAATTCCTTAGTATCTGTAACATTCAGTCAATGTTTAATTTGCTCTGGTTATCTCAAAAATGTTTGTTCAAATCGGCACACAAATAAGGTTTTTGATTACATTTGGCCAGTATGTTTCTTAGGTCCCTGGTAGCCAACAACAGTTGCCAGGCCCCCTTGTTTTGGTAATGCCATGTATTTGTTGAGGAAACAAAACCATTTGATGCTGCCACGTATTTGTTGACGCAACAGGAGGGAGAGCTTGGGTCTTGATTGGACGGAGGTAGAAATATATTCTCTCTTTTGGCAAGAATTCATCACTCCAGTCTTGAAATTCTCTTTGCCTCCAGGACACCACACCCTGCCGCTGTGGCTACTGTCTTGTCTCCTGCACTGGCTGGCTGTCTCTTCAGCCCACCCTGAGAGGGGCTCTCCTCAGGTCTCTGGGCTGGGTCTGCTGGCCTGTCTGAGCCCTTCCTACAGGCGTGTCCCCCTTCCTGCTCTTACCAGTTAGGGTCAGACAACTCTCATGTGGGTGCTTCCAGACCCACCTGTTGTCCTGGGCTCTGGGCACCACCCCAGGGTCTACTTGGTCATGTCCCACACTGACTCCATCCCTCCCCATGTCTTGTGGATTCTACCTCGGAAACAACCCTCCTCCCCACCCCTTCCATCTCTCTCGTGGACAGCTCCTACAGCTCTCAGTAGGTCTCCACTCTGCAGGCAGTTTTCCAAATACAGATCTCACCCTCTCATTCACCTCCTGCTTCAAACTCTTCCAAATCAAGTCTCGATCCTTGCCTTGGCCCAGGCCCAGATCCCTGCCTCATCTCTTGCTGCCCCCATTCCTGCTCTCTAGCTCCTGCCACATGGCCCTGCTGGTAGCTTCCTGGACAGTGTCCTCTACTGGGGACACTGTGTATCACTCCACACCCTACTGCCTTCACCTGGCTGGCTCTTACTTTTCTGAAGGTATCTGATGAGACATCAGCTCCTCCAGGAAGCCTTTTTTGACCCTCTCACACTCTGGCCCACTGGAGAAGGAAATGGAAACCTACTTTAGTATTCTTACCTGGAAAATACTATGGACAGAGAAACCTGGCAGGCTATATAGTCCATGTGGTTGCAGAGTCGAGCACACCCTGGCCCAAGGTTGAACTGTCAGAGTCCAGTTGGCCAGCAAGGGAGGCAGCAGGGGGATGGATGGACAGGTCTGGGTGGGTGGGTCAGGGTCCCCAGGGGCCCACTGCCCATGTGCCCCCACTGTTTGCTGTGCCCTGCTTCTAATGGACACCCCTTGCTCTCCTGGCAGCAACGAGTTCAGCAGGCTGGTGGCTGGGGAGTACCTCAGCTTTTTTGACTTCTCGGGCCTGACTCTGGATCGAGCGCTCAGGTCAGTGCGGCTGGGCTGGGCAGTGCCCACAGGCGATACATCTGGATCCTCCTGCCAGCCCTAGTGTGGGCTTGCCGTGCAGCCTTGGGCAAGCCCTCTTGAGCCCTCTGGGGAGGCTGTGGAGAAGGGCCTTGAGAGCAGCAGAGTGCAGAGGCTCACTGAGTGCTGGCTCACGGGGGGCACTGCCAAGGTGAAGGTGGGAGTGCAGAGGTGACCCTTCAGGAGGCATAGCCTCGACACACCCTGCTGACGGCGCCTTAGTGACACCCCTGTGAGGTGGGCGGTACCGTCCCATTTACAAGCGGAGAAAGTGTGGGCCCGTTCCCCGCGACCACTGAGGGAGGACATGGTCAAAATGACACTGGACATGGTCAGTTTGATCTCACGTCCTGTTGGTGTTTGGACCCGGGGAGTAGCCCTCAGGAAGGGCAGGTGCAGGCCCAGGGAGCAGAGGGCAGGCAGTGGGAGGATGAAGCCTGGTGTCAGTGGACCTGCAGCAGGGCCAGCAGGGAGACCTCAGGCCAGAGCCCTCGCAGGTGGGGATGGTGGACTCAGACTCTGAGCCGAGGGATGGGTGGTCCATGTGTGTTATATCTGTTTACCTCCCATGTGTCTCTCATACTTTTAGAAACCGTATTTTCCCTTTATTCTCTCTGTTTCCATTGGGATCTTTTCTATTGACCTGCTTCCAATTCACTTATTCTTCCTCTGTGTCTCATATGCTGTTAAACCCATTTATTGAGTTTTTACTTTCTATTGTTTTATTTTTCAGATCTAGAGATTATATTTTGTTAAAAAACTTTTTTTTTGGTAGGTTCTAAATCACTGCCTTATCGTGGTGAAGGGGCTTGCATAACTCGATGAAGCTATGAGCCATGCCTTGCAGGGCCACCCAAGAAAGACCAGGTCATAGTGGAGAGTTCTGAGAAAATGTGGTCCATTGGAGGAAGGAATGGCAAGCCACTCCATGGGGTTCTTGCCTCGAGAACCCCATGAACTGTATAAAAAGGCAAAAAGATATGACACCATCACCGATTCAATGGACATGAAGTTGGGCAAACTCCAGGAGAGAGTGAGGAGCAGGGAGACCTGGCGTGCTGCTGTCCATGGGGTCACAAAGAATTGGACATGACTTAGTGACTGAACAACCGCAACAATTCTTTAGGGGGAGAAGTCCTCATCTTTTCATTTATTTTTGCTTACTTTCTCCATCTTTCCCTCTCTTTTTGGGAACATATTATTCACAGTTAATATTTGAAAGTCCTTTTCTGCTTACCACGGTATCTGTGTCATCTGAATCATCTGTATCTGGTTCTATTGTTTTTCTCTTGCTTTTCCATCATATATCCTATTTCTCTGTGTGCTTAGTAATTTTTTATTAGATGCTGTACGCTGTGCATAGAATTACAGCAGCTCTAGGTCATTATGTGTTCCTTCAGGGGGTGTGCCTTCTGTTTGTCTAGGCAGCTAGAGGAGAACTGGGCGGGTACAGTCCCAGTCTATCCAGGGCTGAGTTGGGGAACAGCCGCTCTGAAGTTTGGTAAGGTTCAGAGTTCAACCCAATCACAGGGCAAGGGCTGCAGGGCTTTCCACTGGGAGCCTGGTGTGTTCACTGGGGCTCTCCCTTTGGTGGGTCCTAAATTTCAGTTTTGTCTCCTCAGTGCGGCAAGCCTGTGCAAAAACCAAATCTGTCTGAGAAGCAGAGAGGCTTTCTGCTTAGTTTTTCAGCATACTGTCCCTTCCATCTTTAGACTTTGGCAAATATCTCACAGGGAAAACTGGTCACATGTTTATATTAGCCCCTGAAGTCTCTCCAGCTCCGTGAAGCCACTGAATGTTCTGCCTCAACCCTGTGTCTGTAATCGGCGGTGTCCCTGGGGAGAACTGCAGATCGGCCCACCTCCCTGAGTTCTCTACCCCCTGGGATCTTTGTCCCATTGGTGTCTGTTGCATCAGCGGTTTTCTGATAGCTTAAGAGAGATGTATTCTGTCTGGCATTTTTCACTGTTCTCAGTGGAAGTGTTTGTCAGCTGTCAAGCTGCTCTATCCTGAGCTGAGTCAGGTTCACACTGGATGATCCAGCGGAGAAGGTGTTTGGTGGGTCAGCTTGTGATCAGAGGCCTGGGTGCTGGGCTGGAGGACCTTGAACATACAGCCCAATAGATTAAGACTCGACTACACAGGCCCTGGGGAGCCACAGCGGCTGCTGAGTGTAAAGCAGGGTTTTGGGAGGCAGTGGTGGCAGCACTGTGTTGGTGGCCTTTGATCCAGAGGCTCCTGAAGAGGATCACGTGGGAGACGATGAGGCCTGAAGTTGGACCACAGGGCTCGAGGAATGATTGGTGTGAGAAGCGCAGAGGATAGAGCAGAAGAGCTGGGGATGCCAAGATGCAGAGAGAAAAGGGGGTGGGCAGCAGTGAGGCTGATGCTGGGGAAGGCCTGAGAGTTTGGTTGGAGCTTGGTGAAGACCTCCGGGGAAGGGGTGTTTGGGCTGGGGAGCCCAAGCTGGGATGGATGGCTCATAGGTAGGACAGGCTATGGTTGGGATGGGGCATGGTGTTAGTGGAGTGTGAGGAGAAGAGGGAGGGGCCGGATGCAAGGAAGAGAACAGGGAACAGGAGAGACAGAGAAAGAAGGACCAGAAGGCAGATGGAGTGTTTTTATATAACTGTTGACTGACTGGGATTGAATCAGAGAGTGGTTTGCAGTTTTCCATGCTTTGGGAAACCTCCGAAGGTAAAGACTGGCCAAAATGGGGCTCACAGGTCCCAGGGTGCCTTAGAAGTAGTTTGAGAGAGGATAGAGTAAAGTGGACATAACAGAAGCCAAGGGAACTGCAGCAAAATTGGGAACAAGCTAGTCTCATGAACCCAGGACAGATAGAGGCCCAAACTGTCTCAGCCTCCTGTTTTCCTTCCCAAGGAGGGGTGTGCCTAGGCCCCAGGTGAGGGACCCTAGGCCCATCTCCTGGCCCCTCTGGTTTTGGTATCCTCTGCCAGGAACCCCTGAGTGCTGGTGACCTTTGACTTTTGGCCTTGAGGGGAACTCAGAGCTGCCCAGCAGAGGAGGCTCAGACTTGGGATTGGGGAATAGAGGGGGGTAGGGTGGTTGGGCCTGGGGCCATCCACATGAAGGGTTACGCATCTGGGAAGGGTGGGAAGGGCTGAGGGAGAGCGCTCCGGGGGAAGCAGTGTGGACAGTCTGGGCCCAGCTGTGGAGGAGGGAGTGAGGTGTGGAGCGGAGGCTGGCACTGAGATGTTGGTCAGCCTTTGTTCTTCACAATTTGCCCTCTGTCTCCTTCCGAAAGGGCCCTGGAGGGTGATGAGGGTTGAAACTCCCCACTCCAGAGGCTGTCGGGGGGCTCAGGGTTTCTTCCTGGGCCCAGATGCTGGGGCTCTGGTGCCTCAGCCCCCTTAGGCAGGCTTGGGTGGTGTGTGTAGGGTGGGGGCTCCTACCTGGAGTGAGGATTTGGACAACTCAGGGGTCTGGGAGGCCCTCAGCACCCTTGCATTGCCCTCCAGAACTTTCCTGAAGGCCTTCCCACTGATGGGGGAGACGCAGGAGCGTGAGCGGGTCCTGACGCACTTCTCCCGCCGGTACTGCCAGTGTAACCCTGATGACAGTACTTCAGAAGGTACGCCTCACCTGGTGTCCCGACACCTCACTCTCACCATCACCCCTGATGCCTCACCCCACACCACTGACACCTCACCCTGCGCCCCTGATGCCTCACCCCATGCCCATGACGCCTTACCCCGCGCCCCTGATGCCTCACCCCGCACCACTGACACCTCAGCCCGCGCCCCTGATGCCTCACCCCATGCCCCTGATGCCTTACCCCGTGCCCCTGATGCCTCACCCCACACCACTGACACCTCACCCTGCACCCCTGACGCCTCACCCCACACCCCTGCCCCCCAGCTGGGTCCTGGCTTCTTCCTACCCTTGATCCACCTGCCACTTCTGTCCTGCTCGAGAAACAACAGGGCACGATGGCGTGTGGCAGGGGGACGGTCTACTGGAAAAGGCACCTCCCAACTGTCTGGCCTGGTGTCAGTCCTTATGCGCGAAGGTCCTCTAGGCCCCCTGTGCCCTGAGTCAGTCCTCTGCGTTCTCCTTCTCTGTGTTCCCTGTCACAGCGCTGATCGCTGGTGTGGGGGGAGTCCTGGATCTGGCACCCTCTTGTCCCGTGGGTGGACCTGTGTCCCAGGAACTGGGAGGCTAGGCTGGTTATTAGAGGAGACATGGGCCATGGAAGGGGTATAGCCTGGGACCCAGAGCCTTTCCTGGGTATGAGATTCAAGGTGAGTTTGGCCATAGGAGGCAGGAATCTGGGCTAGAACAGACCCAGGGTGGTCATCTCCCCTACTAAGGGAAGGGTGTTTCCTGACATGGGGTGGGGGAGTGGCTCTGATGCTGTAGAGGGGTGGGGCATGGAGGATCATGCAGGCCCTGGGCCCTGACATGCGGTTGGCAGGTGGCTGGCCTCTTCCAAGGACTGAAGGCTGGCTTTGGCAGGAGATGAGTGGGTGGCTGCAGTTGAGAAAGAGCTGGGTGCTCACACTGAGGGTGCCTCTATCTCTGATTTAGATGGGATCCACACGCTCACCTGTGCCCTGATGCTGCTCAACACGGACCTGCACGGACATGTGAGTTAGGGGGGGCAGAACCGGGTTAGTGTTCTCTCATTGACTCATCCCGAGTTGTCCGAGGGCCAGCCCTATCTCCAGCCTCCTTCCTGAGACCTCTCACTTGCTGGCCCATGTTTCTTTAGCAGACCTGGGAGTCAGGCCACTTGGCTTCTAGACTTGGCCTTACTCTAGTTTTATCCACTTGAGACCTGCCTAGGTGCTCACCCCCAAGCAGGGCCATAAGAACAACTGAAGTACACAGGAATTTAGGATGTGCCAAATAAGATATGTGCCCCTAGCCATGGCCACGCCAGATGTTGCTAAAAGATCACCTGCTCTTCCTACCCCTCGTGACTGCAGCCCTGCTGAAGGGCTGTGCCCCAGGCAGCCCCTTCCCCTCAAATGGTAGGTTGCCATCAAGAGGCATTTTCATCACCTCCATCCCCCACTAGGCAAACGGAGAAGTGATGGGGGGGTACCCCAGGCTGTGAGCCTGGGCATCTCAGTGCTGCTTGTGGCTCAATAACTCCTTCTTCTTTCCTCTGTCTGCTCCGGGGACCCCCTCTCTGGGCTCTCTTGCCCTCCCTCAGGTGGTAAGTGTAGCTGGTGGTCTGCATGCCCTGTGAGCTTAGACCCCCCCATCTCCATTCTCCCCTTCTGTGTCCCCCATCACCCCGTCTGGCCTCACTGATCACCGCCCCGTCATTGCTCGCCCTGGGGTGGTCAGAGCACCTCTGCTGGTTTGGGGATATTTCAGTGACTCATGGGAATAACAGGCCCATGAGAACAATTCCAGAGGTAACCAGCTTCCGGTTCCATCTGGTTCTGGAAGTAACCAGGAAAGTCCAGGACACTTAGAGTGGAAGAAGGAGCTGGGAGAGACCCAACTTCAGATTCCACTCTTGCCTCCAGGTGGCACCTCTGTGACCCGGGGCAAGACTCCAGCACTCTGAGTCTCGGGATCTACACCTGTGAGGTGTGAATGGTGATTTCCCCATAGTGTCCTGGGGAGGGCTGGGAGAAGTAGCACCAAGTGTCAGGGTCTGGTGCTTAGTAAGGATATTTATTATGAATAATATTATTATATAATCATCATCATCATATTCATCAATATTAGAATTTAAATGATGGAGAGTCTGAAGGCCCAGCCTGCAGATTCCTAGAGGATCAAGAATATGAAGGACCTGCCCTGATGGCAGCCTGAGCAGGCATGGGCACACTGGGTGCCTGGCCTGGGGAGAGCGAGAGCCTCGATGGCCTTGGCATGAAGATTAGTTGTGTGACAGCTTCGGTTTTGTCTGCCAGGGCTGTCAGCCTGAGTGTGGAACGGGAGAGAAGACGTGTGGATTCCATGGGAATGTCACCAGAGTTAATGCCCACTAATGGGCTGATGCTCCTCCAAGACTGCTTACTGTTTGCAGAGAGCAGGTGTCACTGGCCTACCCTAAAAGGAGCTTTAAGCACACATTCCTCTTCCCATCCCTACGCTCAGCAGGGCCGAGGGCCATCTCAGGACCCGGTCACTGCTGTGTTAAGCCCTGGGTGCCTCTTCCCTTGGTTGAGAGCTGCTAACAAGGGCAGCAGTCAGTGAACCCCAAGTTGAGAATATTCTTGAGCTTGGTGGGCCCTAACTGCCCGTGGCACCACCTTCTGCCTGAAGTTGAAGAGAAACATTACTACCTTCATACATTAGACGTGGGTGCAGTAGGGTTGTTCATACTCGCAGTCAACAGACACTGAAGATCCGTTTCTTTCTCAAGACAGTATTGCAAAACACCAAAAGCAAGAGTTCTGAGTTGTAATCCTCTTTATTTCTCACACGACAGCATGTGAGCTTAGGTGAGTTACTGATTTCCCTGAACCTCAGTTCCCCTGTGAAATTTAAGGAGACAGCAACTGTAGAGCGTTTAGCCCAGCACCAGGCCATTGCCATCACTGGGAGCTTTCCCGGAAGTGGCAATGCCTGCTTGTGCTCACCCCATCCCTCCCTCTTCTCCTGCTGCCGTTGTTCCACAGAGACTCAGTTCCTGGTGGAAGGTGGGGATCTTAGGAATGTGGGGCCTGCTAGGGCCCCCAGAAGTGGCTCTGGTCAGAGTGGGAGCCAGCATGGGGACTGGCAGAGGGAGTTGGTGCACACTCCCAGATGGGCACAGCCTAGTGGAGGAATTGGGAATGCCCCTCGGCATTTGGACTCTAGGGCCCGACACCTTCTGTGTTCCATAAATGAGAAGAAAAGCGAACCCCTGCCTCAGGGTGCCTACCTTCTAGTTAGAGGAGATAGAAAATAAACAAGTCAACAAGTGATTGCAAATAGTGATAGGTCTATGAAGGGAATTAACAGGCAGGTGTGATGGTGGCTGGACTGGGGGTCAGGGAATGCCTTTCAGAGGAGGTGCAATTGGGGCAGGAACCTGCAGGCTCAGCAGGAGTCAGTCATGGAAAGGCCAGAGACAAAGTCTCCTAGGCAGAGGGACCAGTGGGACTGGTTTTCATCTTTTGGCTATTGTGAACAGTGCTATGAACGTTGGTATACAGGTTTAAAATTTTTTTAAATTATTTTTCAACTGAATGAAAGATTGTTTAAATTCTATAGTGCTTACAATTTTCCGAAGTTTCCCACACATGACTTCATGTAATCCCATAATAACCCTTTTATCTTCCTACCCCTTCCCCTTCTTGGTAACCACTCGTTTATTCTGTCTGAGAGTCTGCTTCTTTTTTTGTTTTATTCACCAGCTTGTTGTATTTTTTAGGTTTCACATCTAAGTGATATCATATAGCATTTGTCTTTCTCTTTCTGACTTGTTTTACTTAGCTTAAGTTTTTGTTTGAGAACCTGCTCTCAGTTCTTTTGAGTATATCCCAAGGAATGGATTGCTGGGTCCAATGGTATTTTTGCGTTTAACTTTTGGAGGACAGTAAAAGTGTTTCCATAGTGGCTATTGAGTCCAGGAAGAAGGTGATGGTGGCTTGGGCTGACAGGGTAGTGAACATGGGTAGAAGGGACAGATGAGAGAGATCAGTAGAGGATGAGCATGACGGGACTTGATGATGGGCTGATCAGGGAGAGGGGGAAGGATGGCTTCAACATCTGGCTTGATGGGGGTGCTATTTCCTGAGATGAGAAGGGAAATTCTGTGGGTGGGTGGAAGGTGTGGTGAGTGGGAGAGCTGGGGCTCCAGCCCCATTTTTGACATACTGTGTTTGAGATGCCTGTCGGACATGAACATGGGTGTTGCCAAGGAAGTGGTGGGATAAAATGAATCTGGGATGCCAGAGAGTGATGGGGTGTGGACAGTGACAAGGTCGCTGTCGTCCTAATGGAATGAAAACCATGGGACTGGCTGAGTGCCTCAGGGAGAGAGGCAGGTTGGTGACCCATTGTGGATCATGGCCTTATTTAGAGATCAAGCAGAGCAGAAGGAGACACTTGGAAGCAGCCATGGTGATGGGCGGAAAACCAGGAGTGTGTGGTGTCTCGGAAGCCAAGAGAAGAAAGTGTTTCAAGGAGAAAGAAGTAGCCAACTATATAAAAGGCTGTCATGAGGTCAAGAAAGACAGTAACAGAAAAACAGCCTTTGAGATTGGAATGGCCATTGGTGGGTCATTGTCATTGGATGGTCAAGGTCATTGGAGCCCTTTACAAAAGCACTTTAGGTGGAGTCGGGAGGCCAAATGCCAGGATGGAGTGGGTGGAGGTGAGGATAGGAGGTGAGGAAGTGGAGGCTGTGGAAATTCTTTTGCAATGTTTGGCTTTGAGTGGGATCCTGAAGTAAGCCACCAGCTGGAGGGGTCTAGCAGGAACTTTTTTTTTTTTTTAAGTTGGAGTATAATTTCTTTACAATGTTGTGTTAGTTTCTGCTGTATAATGAAGTGAACCAGCTATATGTATGTATATATCCTTTCCCTCTTGGTCCTCCCTCCAACCTCCCTTCGCCATCCTACCCATCAAGGTCATCGCAGAATACTGAGCTGAGCTCCCTGTGTTACACAGCAGATTCCCAGCAGCTATCTGTTTTACACATAGTAGTGTATGTTAATACACTAATCTCCTAATCTCCCAATCATCCTAATCTCCCAATTCATCCTGCCCTTTCCTTCCCCCTCTGTGTCCACATGTCCGTTCTCTATGTCTCTGTTCCTGCCCTGAAAACAGGTTCATCTGTACCATTTTTTTAGATTCCACATAATATGTGTTAAAATACAATATTTGTTTTTAGGAGGGACTGTTTTAAATCTGACTAGGGTGTTGTGTATAATGCCATTAGGATCTACTAGGCAGGCAAGGGGAAACTGATGATGCAGGAGAGAGAAGGGAAAATCAAAGTTTTCCTCGAGATGAACAGCAGGGCATAGATGGAGACTGGCCTTAGCTGGGAGTAAGGAAAGCTCATTCCTCATGACAGGGTGAACTGGAAGGGAAGGATGTCAGAGGAGGGTGAGCTTAGCCTCCAGACAAGAGAGGATGGGGGCTTGGGTTAGACTTGGAGATGGAGACAAGGAGAGATATTACAGATGTACTGTGGATGTGCAGTCATTAGCACTGGTTGATGGAGTCAGTGTCGGGGTGAGAGCGGGAGGTCTCTAGGATGAGGCCAGGAGAGGGGGAGGAGATGGTGGGAGAAGCTGCGCCATGAACCTCCAAGCTGAAACAAAGATAAGTTGTTTTGCAAGAAAACGTTAATTTCTCTCACACTTGGGCTGCTTGAGGTTTAGCAGTGGGAGTGCTGGGGAGGTGGGTTGGGCCAGATGGTGGAGGACTTGAGGGACAAATGCACGGGTCGGCATACTATTCTGAAGACTGGCAGCGGCGGGAAGGCCCTGCCCATTCTCAGGTGATGAACAAGCCTCATATATTAGAGCTTTGAAGGAGAACCGAGTACAACTCAGTTTTAATCTCGATTTGCAAATAGTGATGAGGGTTTTCCTGCCTACGAGACTTTTGACTGGTCCCGTCCCTTACTCTGAAGGATAACATCTACTTTCTTCTTGGCCTGTTTCATTCTGCTTTGAGAGGG